ATACAAAGCATAGTTTGAAACGATGTTTTGTGTTGCACATATACTTAGTGATGATTAAATTCAGAATTTGTCTTTCATTTGTTATAGTAGGATGTTATATAAAACATATTCATATTTATGCATGAATATGTATGAAACTTAGCTAATTTTATCAAGAGGGTACAGTAAAAATTAATAATTAATCAAACATTTTTTTTTTTTAATCAGAGTCTTACTCTATTGCCCAAGCTGTAGTGCAGTGGCACACTTGCCGTCACCACAGCCTCGATCTACTGGGCTCAGGCGATCCTTCTGCCTCAGCCTTCCAAGTAGGCGGAACTACAGGCATGCACCACCATGCTCGGCTAATTTTTTGATTTATTGTAGAGATGAGGTCTCACTAAGTTGCCCAGACTGCTTTCAAACCCATGGGCTCAGGCAATTCTCTCACCTTAACCTCCCAAAGTGCTGGGATTATAGGCATGAGCCTATAATTATAGGCACGTGCCCAGCCTAAACATGTTTATACTAATAAAAAAAAGTCTCAAACTTTCAAGTCCATTTGAGGTTAGTTTAGAAAACATGCATACATATGAATATGTTTTATATAACATCCTACTATAACAAATGAAAGACAAATTCTGAATTTAATCATCACTAAGTATATGTGCAACACAAAACATCGTTTCAAACTATGCTTTGTATAAAATTCTGAAAATTAAAATGTTAGAAGTTGGCTGGGCTTGGTGGCTCAGCCTGTAATCCCAGCACTTTGGGAGGCCGAGGTAAGTGGATTGCCTGAGGCTGGGGGTTCGAAACCAGCCCAGGCAACTTGGCGAGACCTTGTCTCTACAATAAATAAAGAATTAGTTGGGCATGGTAGCACATACCTGTAGTTCCGGCTACTTGCAAGGCTGAGGCAGAAGGATTGCCAGAGCCCAGCAGGCCAAGGGTGCTGGGATCATGCCACTGCATTCTAGCCTGGGCAACAGAGTGAGACTCCAACTCAAAAAAAAAAGAATTATAAGTATCTTAAGGGCATTCATGAGTATTAATAAGCAAAAATTAGAGTGAACAGAAACTTTAATGGAGATGAGACATTAAATGCAGATTATGACAAAGGAAAGGGAAAATTATAATAATAAAGTCAACGTTGGCAGGAGGCTTAGATCTTGCATAGGAAACCCTTGTTCCTCAGATTAGGAAACAGAAATCCTGAGAGTTTAAAGAGTAGAAAATAGAAATAGAATACGTAAAAAGATATCTTAAAATGGTATTCATTTCTTTGGGTCAACACTTTCACTTAAGTGCAAAGATTTTCTTATGACCCAGAACCAGGTATTCTGGGTTTCACTCTGCTGAAGGGATTATATATAATTAACAGGCAAAAGGGTAAAGTTTTGGTTTTTTGGACATCATTTTCATTGCACTCAAACATAATGCCATTCCTGCCAGTAGATAAATATAAGAAAGACTTGGACCTTCTGGGCTCAAGGAATCCTTCTGTCTCAGTCTCCCGAGTAGCTGGGACTACCAAGTACATCACCAAACCCAGCTAATTTTTTGATTTTTGTAAAGATGTGGTCTCTCTATGTTGCCTAGTCTGGTCTCGAACTCCGGGGGTCAAGTAATCCTGCTGCCTTGGCCTACCAAAGTGCTGGGATTATAGGTGTGAGCCACCGTGCCTGGATGAAAGTCTCTTTTTAATAATCTCTCTCTAAGCCCTCCAGAGGAAAGCTGGATCTAGGAGGGATCTGGCTAATAGGAGTGGCCTGTAATATCTCATTCTAGTCCTTTCCATTCTGGGAATCTGAAGTTGAGAACCCAAGCAGGGCCTCACCCATTGTGTGAACAAAGGCTTGCCCTGGTGATTGTAATCAAACATAAACTGTAAGATGAATTTGTACTTCATCTGATGATGAACAAGAAATCATCAGCTTGGAAGTCTCCTGATCCACTGGAAGCCAATACCAGGAGCCAATTCTTAAATGAACAAGAAGAAAAGATCTATTTTTGGAAGGTGGCATACCAGCTTCCATTCACCATTCTTTATAGGCTGCAGTGCTGACTCCGTGATTTCCGAGGACCTTCTGGATTTTAGAGTTTACCACATTATCTTGTTTCCTGAGGCCTATTACTCCCAGAAGGGCAAGAGTGAAATAGTCATCTGTCATGGGTTTTGCCCCTTGTTCCCAGCCTTAGTGGCTTTACCTTCGTCTGGATAAGAGGAATACAGCTAGCGGACTCTAACCCAAGGGCTTGGAACCAGCAAGTCAAGTACATATCAGCACCAGGGGCCTGAAGTAGGGATTCATATGGCAGCAAATTCTTCATTAGATAATGAATTGAACAGAGGGAAGGCAGTAAAGAGGATAAAAATATTAGGTTCTTGAGTTTTACTGCAATAAATAAAATAGTAATTACAGTAATGATAATGATACAGCAAGTTTAGCTTTAGAGAAACCACTACAGGAGTCTGGATTAGAAATCCTTACCATCCCTAATGCATTCATCAGAAGTCTGCTTTACTCAAAGCAATGTATTTACAGGGAAGTTTAGCATAACCCCAAATGCAATGTCAAGGCACCTTTATTTTGGAGGGCAGCCTTGAGTGATCCTCTCACCTGGTGATTGAATTAGTACCAAAAAGTTTCAACCAGAAAGCACTGCATTCACTCTGATTGCAAATGTTTTGAAATCTGCCAGTAGGCAGACTACATACCATTTTCCCTAACTTGGAAAAGGGCCAGGGAGAAGCACAAAGAAGGATCAGAAGAATTGAATGTAGAGTCTAGGAAAGGAGTTTAAAAGAAGCAAGCTGCCTTCACTTGGGGAAAGAAGAAAAGGCAGAAAAGTAACAATGCTAGTGACTTTGAAGGCCACAGAGAGTTCCTACTCATAGTTATCCATTTATTCACGTATTCATTCACCCCAAGTGCCCTGCACTGAGCCAGAATCTGGTGGGTGTAGAGAAGGACAAAAATAGAGGCACACAAAACAAAGCACTGGCTTTAAAAATCTCCTCTCCATTGCTAGTGGCCGAGAATTGAACAAAATCAAGTGTAGAGTTGGACACAAGTAGGAAACAAGTCTGAAGTGATGGGATCTGAGAGACTGAAATGCTTGCCAATGTCAAGGTAGCAAAGGAAATAAATACATCCCGATTTGTGATTTGTTTATGAGAACAACTACTGGTTAAATGCTGAAGTGATTTTCTGAACTGAATGGGAGAATTTCTACCAGAAACAAAAAATCAACTATAGCTTCCATTTTTTTAGTTTGGAATATTCTACTGTTGGCCTGATGCGATCACTATAAAGCAAAGCAAGTATTGTATAGTTTCCGTTGTGCTTTTCATCTGTGCTAGATACTGTATGATTCATATCAGGGACTGTCCAGGTCACATAAATGGCACAAAAGACAGAAGTTGATGATGGCAACTCTTCCCACCACCTTGAAGTTAACAGAAAGCCTAGGTTACTAAGAAAATACGTATGCATGAATTCATGGTAGCCAGCCGTGTTATGAAGTCTTGAGTTCCTCCTGTGCCACAGGTTCTTGGAACTTCCCAGTCTTTGATTAACTGAGATTTATCGTCATGTAGGACAAATAAGGTTGTGATCTTATATCACAAATATAAGAGTAAACTTTTACTTTATTTAAATAACATAGGCAAACAAGTTAGATAATTCAAGTATCTGGGCTTTTTTTTAACATAAATTTTCTGATTTGACTCTATTCAAACAGGAAATCTCAAACTTTTCCAGCCATAGTTAAGTCCTTATAAGTTAGTATACATTTAATAACTTAGGCAGTTGCAGTGGCCTATGTCTGTAATCCCAGCACTTTGGGAGGCCAAAGTGGGCAGATTGCTTGAATCCAGGAGTTTGAGTCCAGTCTGGGGCAACATAGTGAAACCTCATCTCTACAAAAATAAAAATAAAAAACTTAGCTGGGCATGGTGGTACGTGCCTGTAGTCCCAGCTACTTGGGACACTGAGGTGGAAGGATTGCCTGAACCTGGGAGGTCAAGGCTGCTGTGAGTTGTGATCATTGTGATTGACAGAGTGAGGCTCTGAATCGAAAGAAAGAAAGAAAGAAAGGAAGGAAGGAAAGAAGGAAGGAAGGAAGGAAGGAAGAAAGAAAAGAAAGAAAAACTTATAAGAAACCAAGACACTGAAAAAAATTTTATAACTTAAAAGATCACTTTCAAGTCAATATTTTCAATCTTCAGTGATCTCTGTGGAAATTTAAATGAGAATTTTATTTTTTTAAATGTTCAAAATTGACTTCTGTGGCTCTTACCCACATGTAAACTGCCCATACCTGAAATTACCAGGAACCAAAGTCATTCCTACCTTTGTCTTTCTTTGTTTATTGTTTGTTTTATTTTAAACTGGATAGGCCATTTAAAATAAATTGTGTGCTTTTAATCAGTTTATTAAGAAACACATTCTGAAAAAATATCTACTTTGTACAAAGTACATTGACATTGTTTTCTCCTAAAGAGAATGCTGAAATATAAGTGACAACTACCCCTCTCCCCTACCTTGGGGAGGTGAATCTCTCTCTCACTATTTTCTTTCTTTTCTCTCTCTCTCTAATTTACTTTTTATCTATTTATTTATTTATTTATCGCCCAGGCTGGAGTGCAGTGGCAAGCTCACGGCCATCCCAGCGTCGACCTGCTGGGCTCAGGTGATCCTTCCGCCTCAGCCTTCCAAGTAGCTGGAACTATAGCCTCGTGCCACCATGCCTGGCTAATTTTTTGATTTATTGTAGAGATGAGGTCTCATCATGGTCTAGAATCCATGGGCTCAGCCAATTCTCTCACCTAAGCCTCCCAAAGTGCAAGAGTTATAAGCGTCAGCCACTGTGCCCGGCCTAATTTACTTTCTAAATAAACTATATTTTCCGATCTAAAAAAAGTGACAACTATACAATTTTAATTGAAATTTGCCTTTTTTTCTCCTCCACCCTGAAATAATATTTCATAAGTCAAGTTTCTGTTCACAACTTACCTGTCTCACTTCCAATCAAAGGCTGATTTGCAAAATGTTTGACAAAATCCTTCAATGATGAGAATTCATTAAAGCCAAATTTAAATGAATATCCAGTGTATTCAACATGAAAGTGTTTGACAGAGTCTTTGGCTCTGAAAAAGAAGAAGAAATGACAAATGTTATTAACAAACATTGTTTTGAAGGGAAATATAATCTTAGATATTAGCATATCCATTAATCCTTTCAAAGAGTTGAGAATTATGCTATCATTGAAATCACTAATGATCTTAAAAAGAGTCATAGTATTTTTTGGCCTTGTCAACTTTTCACTCTATTGGAAGACAAGAGATAACTCTTCTCACCTAATCTTAGATTTACCAAAAGAGCCTTGAATATGACCCTCTTAAGGGGCATGAGTTGAAAAAGGGCAGATGACAGAAATGACATACATGGCATGTCCTTGGCCTTCCTCCTTTGTTTTTTTTGGGAGTCAGTCAGAATTCAGCTTCTGTCACTTAGTTATGTGAGCCCAGCCCTTTTCCTTCCATGCACGTTCTGCTACCAACTGAATAAAATACCAAATTCCTGCATTGTCATTTTCCACTTCATTTTTAAAAATGGGGCAGAGCATTCATTTACATATATGTCTCTCTCTCTCCACTTTATTTGACCCCATTCTATCTTTCTAGCCTCACCTCCCACTATCCCTCTTTATGTAGCCCATACCCTAGCTTTGGAGTGCATCAGAATCACCTAGTGGAGGGCATGTTAAAACTAAGATTGCTGCCTCTGACCCTTCCCCACTTCAGATCCTGTGGGTCCAAGGTGAGACCTGAGAATTTTCATTTCTGGCATCTTCTCAGGTGATGCAGCTGGTCTGGGACCACACGCTCCCCTAGTCCAACTCCTTTATTTTCTGCAAGGAGTTTCCACTTCCTGCTCCTTTTACCTGCGACATTTTTCCTCCTGTCTTCATTGGTGGAAATCCCAGCTACATTTCAGTTTAATTACTACCTCATCTGTCAAATATTACATGATAATTCTAGCTTGAATTAATTGTTATTTCTCTTCTCAACCAACCAGTCACTTACCCTGCCTTCTTCTATGTTATTTACCACACTCTACTTTGTAGTAATTTATTTGTAGGTGGTCTTGTTGGTCCTATGAGGCTGTTCTTCCTGAAAATAAGGTCTTTGAATCTTCTATAACACTTATCAAAATGACTAGTATAGCATGAACGTTTTCAAATATTTCTTGTTAAGAGTATGGGCAAGTAAATAAATAAAAACAGGTGTTTTCCTGACATGGTCTGCAGCTTTCATCACATCTGTTGGTAGTTATTTATTTATTTTTTGTATTTCCACATGCTTGTAATGAAACTCAATTGCTTTATATTTTAATTTTTATGTAAGTAAAATATACATGCCATCTATTTGTAAGAAGCTTTGGATCTAATTGATAAGACAACCATAAGTGAAAAGTTTATTAACATTTTTCTATCCAATAATTCCAAGTTTGTATAAGATTTTTGGAAGATTCGTGCAGTAAAGCATATGCAGCCTAACCATCTGATGACCTTTTAACATTTGCAGAGAAAGCATAATTTTTGTTGCCACCCAAACAGAACTCCATCTTGAATTAATAATTTTCCCAGTCATGTTATTCAGAAAATTTTTAAACAAAATATAGCATGGTGACTTGAGAAATGTTAGTGTGTTCTTTACTCTGCAATGCCCTGGCTTACTCCATCACCCATCACCTATTTCTCCCATCCCCCTTCAAGCAGGCCTGGAAACTTTCACTGTTACAGGAGTGGAAGGTGTGAAGGCAGCATTCTAAGATGGCCCCAAATCCCAGCTCCTTTGTCTCAATTACTCACTCAAATTCTAATCCAGATGCCACCAGGAAGGGATTTTGCAGATCATTAAGGTCCCAAATCAGTTGATTTTAAATACAGAGATTACCTGGGTGGGCCTGACCTAATCACATGAGCCCTATAAAACAGAATTTTCTCTGGCTACTCACAGAAAAGAAAGTCAGGGAGATGTTTTCTGGCTGGGCTGGAAGAAAGCCAACACCCATGTTGTGAACTGCCTGTGGAGCCATGGGCAAGGAACTGTGAGTGGTCTCTAGGAGTTGAGAATGGTCCCTGGCTGACAGATTAAAAAAAAAAAAAAATGAGGACCTTAGTTCTACAGCAGCAAGAAAATGAATGAAAAGGACCCTGGGTCACAGATGAGAGCTCCAGCCTCAGCTGACACCTTTATTTCAGCCTGGTAAAACCCTACACAGAGATTCTAGCCAGACACTGTGACATAATTTATGTTGTTTAAGCCACCAAATTTTTGGTAATTTGCTATGTAGCATTAAAAAGAGCACAGAAGGCCCCAAGCCCAATGAGAAGATAAGCAAATATGTTAATGCTTGACTTTTCAGCTCAATAGAGCTTGTCATCAATTATTTAGTTAGTTTTCTCTTACTGGAGAGAAAGGAAATTAAAAATAAAAACTGGGCCGGGTGCAGAGGCTCAAGCCTATGATCTCAGCACTTTGGGAGGCCGAGGTGAGAGGATCGCCTGAGCCCACGGGTTGGAGAAAAGTTTGGGCAACTTGGTAAGACCTCATCTCTACAATAAATCAAAAAATTAGCTGGGCATGGTGGCACATGCCTGTAGTTCCAGCTACTTGGAAGGCTGAGGTGGAAGGATTGCATGAGCCCAGCAGGTCAAGGGTGCAGTGCCCATGAGCGTGCCACTGCATTCCAGCCTGGGTGACAGAGTAAGACTCCAAATTTAAAAAAAAGTTTGAAAAATGTGACACAGACATGAAAGAATGCATGCTGTTGAAAAAATGATGCTGACACACTTGCTCAATGCAAAGTTGACACAATTCTGTAATTTGTAAAAAAAAAAAAAAAGCTAAATATGTGAAGTATAATAAATTGAAGCACAATGAAATGAGGTATACCTGTAATGATTTCATGTTAAAATGGATTTCAAATATTTGTATTGCAACTTATGAAATATAGCAAGCTAATAACATAAGACAAATATCTGTTTATGAGTTACGTATTTTTTAGGAAGTAGCTCCTGAAAGACCCAAACTATGTCTATTGTTTCCATTGCCTTTGTTACAGGACCTAGTAAAGGATGGTGGGAGATTCTAAAAGTTGGTGGTTTTGTCATTACAAACTTAGTTTTGATAAGTATCTGATTTAGATGTCCGCTAATGTTCTTTTTTAAAATTATGTGTTTCTTTAATATAGCAATATATATTCATTTTCCTATATAAAGATATAAATCACATAATAATCTCTAAGTAACAATGATCTCTTGAGTGATGCAACATGCACATCATTCATGTATTGTTTAAGAAAAATATCTCAGATAGGGTTCTCCTGGAGAAGAACTAGTCCCAGATTAGCAGAAAATGACTTGAAGCAGTCTCTACCCTTTCATTTTTTTTTTCTTTGACTTTAAAAAAAATTTTTAGTTAGCCAAGCACAGTGGCTCAAGTCTAATCCCAGCACTTTGGGAGGTTGAGATCAGGGAATTGCCTGAGTGCAGTGGTTTGAGACCAGCATAGGCAACTTGGTGAGACCTCATCTCTACAATATATCAAAAAATTAGTCAGGTGTGGTGGCACACCTGTAGTTCCAGCTACTTGGAAGGCTGAGGCGGAAGGATCACCTGAGCCCAGCAGGTCGAGGCTGTGGTGGCCGTGAGCGTGTCTCCAACTCAAAAAAAAAGACCTGCCACTGAACTGGAGAGAAAAGAAGAGTCAGATAGGAGAAGGGAGTGTAGCTGCTGCTGCTGAGTTAGTGACCAGAGTGACCATGGAGAGCAGAAAAAGAGGTGAGAGAACCCTCTTTGTAGCTTGAGGGACTGCTCAATGAAGGGAACTATGACTTTCTTCCCAAGGTTTATGGAGGTGCCATCAGAGCAGTAATACGACAGTAGTTTGAGGGTAACGGGTGGGTGGCAAAGGGAAACTTCAGGGAGTCCTCACACCCTTAGCCTGATCCATGGGGAACCGCCCAGGAAGACTTGCTATTTGTCAGTGGTTGCCAGTGTTGGGTGCTGCCTGGAAACCAGTGACTTCCACTGATAGCCTCTCAGATCCTGAATGCCATCCAGGAAGAAGAAGGTGGGGTGGAAAAACCCTGAAAGAACTGAACAATCACTGCATTTGGCTGGGGGCACCCTGTGGGGACTAGACTAACTTTCTAACCATTTGGAAGAAATGGAGTTTCCAGAAAGAAAATCAGAATCCATTTACAGGCACAATTTTAAAGTTGCATATTGCCAGCTTGAGTTTGTGACTATGAAAGTTGGACCACCCTAAATCATTCTGATTTTCCAGAGAAATCAAGGAATAGTGATTCCTGGCACTGAGCAGGGTGTCCGGGATCTGAATTCTGGTGCTGTTTCTGTCTCGCTGATTCCTGGGGTACCAGACACCACCACTTTGGGTTTCAGGTTCATCAGCCAAGTGAGAAGTTTAGATTGAATAATTTCTCACGACTCCTCCAGCTCTTTTTTTTTTTTTTCCCTGCTAATGGTTGATACAAGAGTGTTTTTTACACTCACCATTCAGAGTTTGAAATCCTTTAACCTGGTGTCCAACAGGAACCAAGAAGTTTTGCTCTCTGGCAGTTTGAGAGATGATCAAGTCAGTAAGTGACAGATGGACCCATGCTGAATTTATGGAGTTCTTATCTTGTCCAGGCTGGTGTCAAACTCCTGGCCTCAAGCAGTCCTCCTACCTCAGTTTCCCAAAGTGCTGGGACTACAGGCGTGAGCCATTGTGCCTAGCCTGAATTTATGAAGTTCTTTTTTATTTTTGAGTCGGAGTTTCATTCTGTCGCCCAGGCTGGAGGGCAATGGCACGCTCATGGCCACTGCAGCCTCTACCTGCTGGGCTTAAGCAATCCTTCCACCTCCCCCTCCCAAGTAGCTGGAACCACAGGTGTGTGCCACCATGCCCAGCTAATTTTTTTGATTTAGTGTAGAGATGAGGTCTCACCAAGTTGCCCAGGCTGGTCTCGAACCCCTGAGCTCAGGCAATCCTCTCATCTCAGACTCCCAAAGTGCTGGAATCACAGGCTTGAGCCACCATGCCCGGCACATGGAGTACTTAAGCACCCTACCTCACAGAGAGAGAGTACAGCCCGGCCGTCTCATTGCTGTCCCTCAGGAGATAGCTACCGTCACATCCATTGGAGAGGAGAAGAGCCTCAGCTGCATGGCGCGTAAGGTTGCCATGATACCACCTAGGAAGGAAAGAGAACAGTGCTGTCACTCAGACCAAGCCACGGGGCGACTCCTCCTGCACTGGGTTTTCCTCTCAAAGATTCCCTAGCAATGTTCCATCCTAAGTAACCCAGAGACCAAGCTGTCAGCCTAAACATCAGGACAGGGACGTCTCTGGAGAAGCTAAAGGGGAAAGCGGAGAGTTGGCTAATAGCAGCATGTTGTGGGTTGAATTGTGTCCTGAAAATTCATATGCTGAAATTCCAACCCCTAGTACCTCAATTCAGGATGGAGGAATCTTTGCCCAAAAGAGGAAATATGCCAAAGAGGGCAATCCCAGCACTTCAGGAGGCCAAGGCGGGAGAATCACTTGAGACCAGGAGTTCAGGATCAGTCTGGGCAACATAGAGAGATCCCATCTCTATTTGTAAAAATTAACAATAATAATTTTTAAAAATAAAAGTAAAAAAGAGAAACGAGCATTAGGAAATGCAGATTTAGGAAACAGATATCTTGGAGACCTAATCTGGAGACAGGATTTTTACCAAGTTAAAATGTGGTCATAAGGATGATCCCTTATCTAATATGACTGGTGTCTTCTGGTAAAAAGGTGAAATTAGGAGACAGACTTGCATACAGGGCACCACATGGGCATGAAAGCAGTCACCTGTGAGCCAAGGAGAGGCCTAGAAAGGATTCTTCCTCACAGCCTCAGAAGGAATCAATCCTGCTGACTCCTTCATTTCAGATTTTAGCCCCCAGGACCATGAACCAGTACATTTCTGTTGTTTAAGCCAAGTTTGTGTGTGTGTGTGTGTGTGTGTGTGTGTGTGTGTGTGTGTGTATTTTGTTACAGCAGCCCTGACAAACAAATACAGAGTGTTGCTTTGTAATCAGAAACTTTAAAATAGTCCGAGTCAAAATAATTACAAGAATAGGCTTTGACCAATATTTTTCTCTTTTATTTTTGGCCTCTCTCTCGCACTCGTTTGGAAGTGTGGTACTATATTTCATGGGGAGACCTCTGAGCTATTACACTAGAGTCCATTGTCATGAGTGCAGTAAAACTGGACACAAGGAATTCAGGTATCTTATAGTGAGATATAAGCCCCATCAAGTATCGCTTTGACCTGACAAATGTCTGAAGAGCTGGAGAAGTCCTAAGGGGATTCAAATTGATCTTTGTGTTTTGGAAAAGGTAACATAAACCTCTGTTTTTTTTAAAAAGAAAATCTAAATAATCCAAAAGGCGACATAGTGAAAATATGTCCTCGATCTTCCTGTTTCTTTCTTCAAAAGATACCATGTTAACCATTTTCCTGTGTTTCCCAGAGATAGTCTATGCATCTAGAGGCATTTGGGGATGTCCCACCGCTAATAATTTTACGAAAATAAGAACATTCTAGGCACAGTGCTTGCACCTTGTTTCTTTCTCCTGATGGTAGACCTTTACTATCCTTTTTCTTTTTTTTTTTTTTTTGTGCAGTGGCATGATCACGGCTACCACAGCCTCTACCTGCTGGACTCAGGTGATCCTTCCACCTTAGCCTTCCAAGTAGCTGGAACTACAGAAGCCCATCACCTTGCCGGGCTAATTTTTTTATTTTATTGTAGAAACGAGGTCTTGCTATATTGTCCAGGCTGATCTAAAACTCCTGGGCTCAGGTAGTTCTCTGGCCTCAGCCTCTCAAAGTCCTGGGATTACCGGCGTGAAGTGCTGGACTCTTCAGCACATTTCCCCTTGTGGGCAGAGATGCCTCCATCCTGCATTAGCAATATATTTGCTTGCTGAAAGGCGTGAAAAACATTTTACATGAATACCCATTGAGTTTTTTACCTAGAGAAACTCCATTCATTGACCTGATTCCCAGACAAGTTCAAATCTGTTCATTACAAAATACTTTCAAAGAACAATTGGAAGAATAAAAAGTGAAGCTACAATAAACTTCAGGTTCAGCTAACACCCAAATTCTAATTATTTTTGATAGGTGACATATCTGTTAGGTCACAAGAACTTAAGTATTATTTCACCGATACCTAATTTCATCATAAACATTTCAGCATGAGATTCAGCTTAAGCCAAAAGATCACTTATTTGAAGCAATACTTGATTCACAAAATTCTAAAACATAAAGGATTTGGACATTCCTTTGAATTCTTTTAAATGGGATCTCAAGTTTGTGCTTAAAGTATGAAATAGAATTCTTCTGATATTTAATTACAGCCTGATGACAGTTTTTAAGATTTTATGGTAATTAAAAAGATAACCATATACATACCATAAGTGCATAAAACTTGAGAATATAGCAAGAAGAATCACACTGTGCTACAGTTTGGAAAATTCTGAGGGGTAATTTCCAGGTGGTAGCTCTGCTTGAGTCAATATTGCCTCTCAGGTTTTTATGGAATCTCAGGCCTAGGCAAGCCTAAGCATTCCTTTCCTAGTAACTTTGCAGAGTTTTTCTTCCCAATAACATTGTGTATCCCAATAACATTGTGTATCCTTTGTAGAAACATGCCCACCTCTCATAAGAATGGTTCAAGTCTGTGACTATAAAGAACTAAAATTTAAATATAGAATTAATGGCTGGATTGGTGGCTCAGCCTGTAATCCAAGCACTTTGGGAGACCGAGGCGATGGATTGCCTGAGCCCGTGAGTTTGAGACCAGCCCAGGGAATTTGGTGAGATCTCGTCTCTACAATAAATCAAAAAATTAGTCGGGCAGGGTGGCATGCACCTGTAGTTCTGGCTACTTGGAAGACTGAGGCAGAAGGATCGCATGAGCCCAGCAGGTCGATACTGGGGTGGTTGTGAGTGTGTCACTGTGCTCCAACCTGGGTAACAGAGTGAGACTCCAATTAAAAAAAAAAAAATAGAGTTCACTTGGTAGTTTTCCAACAATCAACCTTTTTCTAACCTTCTATCATTGCTTTCATCTCTGCAAAACATGTGCAAGGGAAGTCAAAGTGAACAAACATGAAACAGCCCCAGACTGGGCTACAAGAAATCACTAATCTAGTCAGGAAGATAAGATTGGTATATTGCAAACTATATCCAAGAGAGACTAGAATATCCAAAGAATGTTCTAGGAAGCAAGATCAAAACCAGGTTCCTTGAACAAACCAACATCTAAGTAAAACTTCAAAGATACTTAAGTTATTTTTTAAGTATATATTCCTTTTTTCCAATTATAAAGCATATATAGTAAACATTAAAATATATGCATGTAAAGAAGAAAAAGCAAGTCTTTTAGAGAAAAAAATGTTTCAACTAAATAATATCACCACTAATCAGAGAAATGCAAATTTAAAACAACAATGTGATATTTTTCTTTATCCTACTAGATTGGTTAGAATGAAAGAGTTTTTAAGTGTAAGTATTGCAGAATTGGAGGCCATGGATATTACTGCCCATTGTTGATAGTGATCTAAGTTGGAAGGAATTTAGCACGTGAAGTGTAGTTAACATGGCCACATGACCAGAGATTCCACTTCTAGTGTCTGCATAGTGAAACACTCACACACGAGCAGAAGGAAATATGAGCAAAAGTGTTCATTGCAGAATAGTTTATGAGAGTAAAAATTTGGAAGCATCCTACATGTCCATCAACAGGGAAATGATAAATAAAGCTGAGGATGCGTAGAATGAGATTATTATTATTTTTGAGTCAGGGTCTCACTCTATCACCCAGGCTGGAGTGGAATGGTGTAATCTTGGTTTCTGCATCCTTGACCTTCTGGGCTCAGGCAATTCTTCTGCCTCAGCCTTCCAAGTGGCTGTGACTACAGGTACACACAACCCTGGCTGGCTAATTTTTTGATTTTTCTGTAGAGACAAGGTCTTGCTATGTTCCCCAGGCCAGTCTTGAACACCTAGGCTCAAACAATTCTCCTTCCTTAGCCTTCCAAAGTGCTTGGATTACAGGCGTGAGCCACCACACCCAGCCAAAAAAGTTAACCAGAAGTGTGTGAAAGGTTTGAGCACATTTTTGTTTGTCAGATAATGAAGATGGGGGATGGGGTGCTATTGGTCACTTTCTGAGAGGGTGCCAGGAATGCTTAACAGCCCACACAGAATGATGTAGTCCTAAACAACCAAGAATTGTCACACTCATAATGCTAACTGCATTATGAGAAACACTGAAGCTATTTGTGTATACATACAGCAAAGTTGGTAGTTCTCAACATACATTGTGAAGTTAGAAGAATTGGTTGCAGGCACAGTATTATACCAATTAGTTTTAACACCCTCCCCCAAAAAACTCCAATACAACACACATGCATTTACATATTAAGATATGTAAAGGCATAAAATAAGAACCTAAAAATACACACCGAATTCATAAATATGATATCTTTGCAGAAGGAACCAGGATTGAAATTTTTGTCTAAAACACATAAGTTTGATCAAATTTTCCTGATTTAGCTTGTTCTAGTGAAAAAAAATCCTACACTAATTGCATAATTAACATTTAATTAGAAAAAAGAAAACAGCTAATTTATTTTTTTAATCCAACAGCCAGAAATAACCCTGTTAATAATTTACCTTATTCTTTCATTTATTCAACTACACAGCTGGAACTGGCCTAGGCACTTAGGTGAAAAAACAGAGAAAGAGAGAGAGAAAGAGAAGGTGGGGGGGTGGAGAGAGAGAGAGAGAGAGAGAGATTGGCTTTTTTTCTAAAGTCTGGTGGGATATGATGTGACAATTGTTCATAGAGATATACATGGTAGGGAATAAAACAGGAACAAAGACCTAGAAGCAAAAGAATGCCAGGCAAGTATGACAATCAGAGCAGTATGTAGCCATGAGAGAATTCAGAGTGAGTGACAAAGACAGCATTCGGGTATGGTGAGGATGAAGTTGGGGGAGCTTGAGGCTGGGTTGTACTGAGCCCTGGATGCTGACAGCTCCTTGGCTGATGTCTACAGAGCCTCTTAGGTTCAATATGCACGTCTGACAAATCATTACACAGAATCATCCTTGTATGCACTTAAAGGTCCTGTCATCAGAACTAT